CCCAGCCGCGGCTGGCTGTCCGGTTTGTGGCCGTGGTGTCAGAGCCCGAGCGGGACCGTGCTGTCCCCGCACCGCTCCCCGGCTCGTCTCTGCTGCGCCAGCGCTCCCTGTCCCCCGGGGCTGTCCCCTGGGGCTGGACCATGGGGCTGTTCCCTGGGGCTGTCCCCCGGGGCTGTCCCCCGGGCTGTCCCCTGGGGCTGACCCCTGAGGCTGTCCCCTGGGGCTGTCCCCTGAGGCTGTCCCCTGGGGCTGTCCCCTGAGGCTGATCCCTGAGGCTCTCCCCTGGGGCTGTCCCCCGGGGCTGTCCCCTGGGGCTGTCCCCTGGGGCTGTCCCCTGGGGCTGACCCTGAGGCTGTCCCCCGGGGCTGTCCCCCGGGGCTGACCCTGGGGCTGTCCCCTGGGGCTGACCCTGGGGCTGTCCCCTGGGGCTCCCGGCTCTCCAGGAGCCCGGGACAGCGCACAGCCCTGCCAGCCGGACCCGGCCTCCAGCCCAGTGACACGGCACACGGGCACCTCATCCTCCTGGCCCTGCCCTCACCCTGTCCCTGCAAAGAGTTTCTTCCCACTCTGCATCCGTGAACATCTCTGGATTAACTTGTTGCATAAGCACGCATGTTTAATATTGATTCAGGAACTTTATTTCAAAGGGCTGAGGCCCGGGGAGAAGCAGCGGGTGCCTGATGCTGATTAGAATTCCGTTCCTGAGTAGATAGCTCTTTACATAACGCGTTCAGGCTGGGCTGGCACAGTGGGGGTGTGAGCTTTGAGAGGAATCCACCGATTTGGTGAGAACAAAGGTGCTGAGAGCAGGTCCTGGTGAGGAGCCGCTGTTAAGGTCCTGCAGGGATTTTAGGGCTCTGTTTCTGTTGTTAACTTTTGGTGGGGGCTGGAATTTTCCATGCCTGCTGAGGTGATTCTTTTGTTGAGCTGTAACGAGCGCAGAGAGCGCTCTCCCTGTGCAGATTGCTGTAAAGGGCAGATGTTATCTAGCACACGTCTTGCTGGGCTGTGGAAATCACACCGCTCCTGTGCCGGCAGTGCTCCCCTCTCCCTCCCATGAGGGGTTCTGGCAGGTCACCAGGGACAGGAGCCTCCCCGACAGCGAGGGGTCTCTGCAGGTCGGCTTTGTCCTGTCACTGCACCGCCACCCCTGCCCTCTGCTGGGTTTTCATACGGGGTGCCCCTGGGACCCGGGGCTGGCCCTGGCTCCAGGTGTGCGGCTCGGGGTGGCAGAGCAATTCACTGGGACCCCGGGGCTGTCCCTGGGCTGTCCCTGGCCTGTCTCTTGGGTGTCCCTGGCCCGAGGCGTGTGCGGCTCAGGGTGGCAGAGCAGTTCAGGTTCTGTGCAGACCATCCTGTCGGAGTGTACAGACACCACTGGGACCCTGGTGTTGTCCCTGGGCTGTCCCTGGCCCCAGGTGTGTGCAGCTCAGGGCGGCAGAGCAGTTCAGGTCCTGTGCAGACCATCCTGTCGGAGCGCACAGAAACCCGTGCTGAAAGGAGATGTTCTCCAGCTGAGTGTTTTCTCAAAGAAACAAAAACGACAGGGGGAGGTGTGTGAAGCCGAGCTGTCTGGGGTTTAAAACACTTGCTGGCAGCAGGGTTAGGTTCCCCTCGAGGGCGGCAGGGGTTCGGACGTGGCGTTTGCATTGTGCCAGCTCCTGGGACAGGAGTTAGAGCCCCGGGCAGCAGAAAGCCCAGCTCCCCCTGCTCCGACAGCCCTCGGGAAGCGCTCCTGGACAGAGCTGGGGGCACGGCTGGGAGCTGGGAGCAGCAGACGTGCCCCGAGGAACGGCTGCTCCGGCTTCTCAGAGGTGAATCTGTGTCAAGCCAGTGCCACTCAGCGCTTCCTCCAGCTCTTCTCCCGTTCCTCCTGCGCTGCCATGTGTCTTAAATTTCGGTAGCTGCTGCCAGTGGGATGAGGAGAGTTGATACCGGTGATTGAGATGCACGCACAAAAATAATGTTCTGGGGAGCGGTGGGAGCGTGGTACCTCCCCAGCGCTCTGCTCTTTAATGCTATTTGTTCTCTCGTGGTGCCTCCCCAGCGCTCTTCCCCTGCTCTCTAGTGCTAACTGTTCTCTCCTCTGCAAACATTTTGCTGCCATTCACCCGTGGGGCAAGTAGATACTAGTGTAATGTGCTGGAAAGTATCTGCAGTTTAATCCCTTATCTCCGTCAAATCACGAGCTGCTTTTTGTTTTATGGGTTGATGGGTTTTCCTCTGCCGTGCTGATGGTAGAAGTTGTGCCCGCACACTGTTGAACGGCAGAACCCTGCGGTGATGTGGTGGTGGTTAAAAACCATCAGAGTGCGCGCTGCTCTCCTGGCACCGTGCTGTTTGTCTGGTTCTGGAGGCAGCAGCTGATGCGGGAGCCCTTCCCGCCCGGTACTGGTGTCAAAGGTTCTGTCCAGATGTCAGTTTGCAGGCTGTTGTCGTTAGCTGGTTGGTTGTTGTGGCGGTAGGTGTGGTGTCAGGGTGCTGTCAGTCTGTCCGGGACGGTGTTACTCACGGGTCACCCTCCAGAGCAGCGGCAGCAGCTCTCAGCCAGCAGTGCTTGCTTTTCCGGAGGTTTGTTTTAACAAAAACCGCTGTCACCGCTGCAGCCTGGGGACAGCCGTGGGGACAGCCCTGGGGACAGCCCTGGGGACAGCCCTGGGGACAGCCGTGGGGACAGCTGTGGGGACAGCTCTGTTGCCCCAGATGTGTTCTGTCAGGATGTGTTTCCCTCTCTCCCTGAGTGCCCGCAGTTCCCTGCCCCGTATCCGTCCTTGTGACACGGGTGGCACTGCCAGCCTCGCTATGGCTGCAGACTGTCACTTGTCACCTGGGGGATTCCCTTCTCTGGGGGAAGGTGACGCTTTGGGACATCCGGGGATGGCTGTTGGCTGGTGATGGTGAGGCTGCTGTGCCTTTGGTGGCCGCGCACGGAGTCCAGGCTGTGACAGGTGCTGTGACACAGGCAGGAGGACAGCGGTGTACCTGCTGGGCCTGGGACACACAGGCTGGTGTCACACAGGGACTGGTGTCACACACGGGTAGGTGTGACATAGGAATTGGTGTCACACAAGGGATGGTGTCACACACAAACACACACACAGACACACAGCCTGCTGTGTGTGTCACATTTGTCACCTAACCCCAATCCCCTGTACAGGCGGTGATGCTGCATTCTGCCGGGGAGTGTCCTGGTGAACCAAACGGAACGGAACCGGTGCTGGGAATGTGTGCGGTGTGAGACACAGCCGGAGCGAAGGGAACGGAACCGGTGCTGGGAATGTGTGCGGTGTGAGGTACAGCCGGAGCGAAGGGAACCGGTGCTGGGAATGTGTGCGGTGTGAGACACAGCCGGAGGGAAGGGAACGGAACCGGTGCTGGGAATGTGTGCGGTGTGAGACACAGCCGGAGCGAAGGGAACCGGTGCTGGGAATGTGTGCGGTGTGAGACACAGCCGGAGCGAAGGGAACCGGTGCTGGGAATGTGTGCGGTGTGAGACACAGCCGGAGCAAAGGGAAAGAGTGCTGGGAATGTGTGCGGTGTGAGACACAGCCGGAGCGAAGGGAACGGAACCGGTGCTGGGAATGTGTGCGGTGTGAGACACAGCCGGAGCGAAGGGAATGGAACCGGTGCTGGGAATGTGTGCNGCGGTGTGAGACACAGCCGGAGCGAAGGGAACGGAACCGGTGCTGGGAATGTGTGCGGTGTGAGACACAGCTGGATCGAAGGGAAGCGGTGCTGGGAATGTGTGCGGTGTGAGACACAGCTGGAGTAAAGTGAACCGGTGCTGGGAATGTGTGCGGTGTGAGACACAGCCGGAAGGAAGGGAATGGAACCGGTGCTGGGGAATATGTGCGGTGTGAGACACAGCCGGAGCGAAGGGAAGCGGTGCTGGGAATGTGTGCGGTGTGAGGTACAGCGGGATCGAAGGGAATCGGTGCTGGGAATGCGTGCGGTGTGAGACACAGCCGGAGCGAAGGGAACGGAACCGGTGGTGGGAATGTGTGCGGTGTGAGACACAGCCGGAGCGAAGGGAACCGGTGCTGGGAATGTGTGCGGTGTGAGACACAGCCGGAGCGAAGGGAAGCGGTGCTGAGAATGTGTGCGGTGTGAGACACAGCCGGAGCGAAGGGAACCGGTGCTGGGAATGTGTGCGGTGTGAGACACAGCCGGAGCGAAGGGAACCGCGTTGTAGAACACTTTGGCTGGGCTTTAGTTAAGTTTTGGGGATTTTTAGCAGCCTCTGCCCTTTATGCCCCAGAGGAGCTCCTGCACAGCTGGGGTAACACCTCCAGGAAGGCAAGGGAGTGAAACCCGCCTGAGTTTTTTCCTTAGCCGTGAACCTCAGAACGACTGTTGTGTGTTTTAGAAGCCTTCTCCGAGCTCTGTGTGTGTCTGCCTGTTGTTCTGTAGAAGAATGTGGAGCTGAAATCTACCTCAGCTCAGCTCGATATCCCATCTCCTAAACACTGAATTTCTGCCCCAGGAGGTGCCGTGAGCTGTCGGGAGCCGCGGCGTGTTCCTTGCCCGAGTTTCTGGGGCTGTGCCAGCCTGTGGTGCTGCCTGCCGCTGCAGTGAGGAGGTGAAGCGCTCGATTCCTGCCCCACAAACGCCTCGCTTATCTCTGTGTCTGCTCTCCGTGCCTCGTGCTGCGGGGCACGGCTCGCTCCCCGGCAGGGAACGTGCTCCCGGAGCTGGGTGCTGAGCGTGGCGCGGCGTTATCGGGGCACAGCAGCAGATAATCGCTGTTTGGAGAGAGCGTGTCCCGCCTGACCCAGAGCCGGGGGGACACTCTGCCCCACGGCCGGCCTTGTTGTGCATTCCTGACCCCCAGACAAGTATAAGAGCGAGGGCAGCGGGCTGCCAGCTCAGCCAGGCTCCTGGTGCTGCACGGCTCCAGCCCAGCGCCGCCCTCGATTTCAGCTCCGCAGGCAGCAGGGTGCTGGGGGAACAGCCGGACCCTCTGCTCCATCAGGTAACCTTTCCTGGCAGAGTGACCCACAGCAGCAGGGTGCCGGGGGAACAGCCGGACCCTCTGCTCCATCAGGTAACCTTTCCTGGCAGAGTGACCCACAGCAGCAGGGTGCCGGGGGAACAGCCGGACCCTCTGGGGAACAGCCGGACCCTCTGCTCCATCAGGTAACCTTTCCTGGCAGAGTGACCCACAGCAGCAGGGTGCCAAGGGAACAGCCGGACTCCGGAGCCCCTCTGTGCCCATCAGGCAACCCTTCCTGGCAGAGTGACCCGCAGAGTGTTCCCAGGCTCTGGCAGCTGCTCCGTGTCCGAGGATTAACAGCCAACAGCGAGGTGAGATCCATCATCCCGCTCAGACCGAGAGGTGATCGCGTTCTGCTGCACGGGCCGAGCACAGGCAGCCGTGGGGCGGCCCGTGCCTGCAGGAGTGTGGGTGTTCTGGGAGGGGAGCAGCTCCAGCCAGCAGCCTGCTGCAGGTCCTGGAAGGCCAGGACAGGAGCAGCCAGCAGCTGCTCGTGGCTGCTCTGAGAGAGGAGCTCGCTGCAGGTCCTGGAAGGACAGGACAGGAGCAGCCAGCAGCTGCTCGTGGCTGCTCTGAGAGAGGAGCTCGCTGCAGGTCCTGGAAGGACAGGACAGGAGCAGCTCCAGCCAGCAGCTGCTTGTGGCTGCTCCGAGACAGGAGCTCGCTGCAGGTCCTGGAAGGCCAGCTGGATGAGCTGACAGGTTTCCCTGCCCTCCGGAGGTTGTGCTGCTCGGGTTGCCTGGAGCGCCGCTGGCTGTTGGCCCCTTGTTTCTCGGTTAATGAAACGGGTCCTTAGTGTGGCACGGGGTCAGGGGCCTGCTGGGGCTGGAGAGCACCTTTGGGGCCGTGGGGTGTGCTCAGGTGCAGCTTTGTTAAACACCTGTTGGCAATGAGGACGGGCTCCTGGAGCTGTTCCCCAGCTCAGGATGGGCTCCTGGAGCCGTTCCCCAGCTCAGCTCCTGGAGCCGTTCCCCAGCTCAGGACGGGCTCCAGGAGCCGTTCCCCAGCTCAGGATGGGCTCCTGGAGCTGTTCCCCAGCTCAGCTCCTGGAGCTGTTCCCCAGCTCAGGACGGGCTCCTAGCGCCGTTCCCCAGCTCAGCTCCTGGAGCCGTTCCCCAGCTCAGGATGAGCTCTTGGAGCCGTTCCCCAGCTCAGGATGAGCTCCAGGAGCCGTTCCCCAGCTCAGGATGTGCTCCTGGAGCCGTTCCCCAGCTCAGGATGGGCTCCTGGAGCCGTTCCCCAGCTCAGCTCCTGGAGCCGTTCCCCAGCTCAGGATGGGCTCCAGGAGCCGTTCCCCAGCTCAGGATGGGCTCCAGGAGTTGTTCCCCAGCTCAGGACGGGCTCCAGGAGCCGTTCCCCAGCTCAGGATGGGCTCCAGGAGCCGTTCCCCAGCTCAGGACGGGCTCCTGGAGCTGTTCCCCAGCTCAGGATGGGCTCCTGGAGCCGTTCCCCAGCTCAGGATGGGCTCCAGGAGCTGTTCCCCAGCTCAGGACGGGCTCCAGGAGCTGTTCCCCAGCTCAGGATGTGCTCCTGGAGCCGTTCCCCAGCTCAGCTCCTGGAGCTGTTCCCCAGCTCAGGATGTGCTCCTGGAGCTGTTCCCCAGCTCAGCTCCTGGAGCTGTTCCCCAGCTCAGGATGGGCTCCAGGAGTTGTTCCCCAGCTCAGGACGGGCTCCAGGAGCTGTTCCCCAGCTCAGCTCCTGGAGCTGTTCCCCAGGAACCCGAACCCCGTCAGCCTGCAGACCCGGCAGCAGCTCCTGGAGCAGCGTGCCGCGGCGTTTGCCGGGCTCTGGGCTGGTCTCCGGCTCCCACCAGGGCTCCCCCCGTACCCACAGCGCTCCAAAGCCCAGAGGAGCTTCCAGAGCTTGTCAGCTGAGGGCTGACCCAGCTCCTGTGAGGATCATTCCACTGAAATGAGGCCTGGCCTGCTTGGTCTGAGCCCCGAGCCAGCCAGCGAGCACAGTTCTCGTTCACGGCATCAGGGCGGGAGGAGATAAAGCTGCGTGTCTAATTCTAATCGTCTCTGTGTTTAAAGCTGCTTCAGCTAATAGCTTTATCAGGGCGTTGATGTGTGATTACTTGTGCACATCTCTCTGGGATGGAGGAGAACACGCTCTGCTTTAGCCGGCAGGCATTTACAGATTAGCGTGAGCTGGCAGGTTAAGCTGGACTTTTCAAAGGGGTTTATTGAATCCAAGCGCGAGGAAAAAACCCGGCTCAGGGGGAGAAATTGTAATAGCTAGGTAAAACCCGTGATCCTACTCAGATTTGGAGGTAATTGTTTTCCAGTGGGAGAAATTGAGTGCAGAAGCATCCTTACAGAAGAAGAGAAGGTTTGAAGGAGGGAGGGAGGGAGGCAGGGGCAGGGATTTGCGCCGTGTGTTTTTTCAAGGGTACCAAAGCCTGATGTATTCCAGTTAAAACTGTGGAAAATAGCAAATAAGAGTTCATTTCCTTTTGAGATTGTGCTGGGTTTGTCCAGCAGCGTTCCTGCTGCCAGGAGAGGAGCCCTGTGTGCTGTGGTAACTTTTGGTTAACAACTCGTTTGGTTTGGGCCAGCCTTCCCAGGCAGTGTTTTCACTCGATTTCACCCCGAATCGGTGTAAAATCATTGTCGGTCTTCTCCTGCTTCATGTGAGCATCCCCGCCTTTCTGTTTGTGTGTGTATAAACTGTAACCTTTATTTAAATATTGTTACTGGGGGAGGAATAAAACATCTAAAACATCTTACATCTGAGAGTGTTGGGGCCATGTTTTGGCCATCACGGGACAAGCGATGCCGATTTTTCATTTTTAACACCCTGCACTCAGCTTGAAAGCGACAGAAGGAGCGAAGCCTTCAGGCTTCCCTAGAAACAGCATCTGCAATTTGTTAAAAACAATTCCAACCCGGGTGTTTTTCCCTCCCAGGTTTTACCGGGAGACATCCGACCCTTGGCTGGGATCGCCCCCTGCTCCTCGGCGCCGGGGAGCGACGTTGGATCCGCGCGGAGGGGCCGTGACAGATGGACAATATGTCTATTACCAACACGCCAACCAGCAACGACGCCTGTCTGAGCATCGTGCACAGCCTGATGTGCCACCGGCAGGGCGGGGAGAGCGAGACCTTCGCCAAGCGCGCCATCGAGAGCCTGGTCAAGAAGCTGAAGGAGAAGAAGGATGAGCTGGATTCTCTGATCACGGCTATCACCACCAACGGGGCTCACCCCAGCAAGTGTGTCACCATACAGAGAACGCTGGACGGGAGGCTGCAGGTGGGTCCTGCCTGCCTCTGCCCGGCCTGCGGGCTGACTGTTCGATTCTCAGTGTTGGGTTTTGTAAGTTTTTAACGGCTCCTCGTGGTGCCCCAGAATTCCCGGAGCTTAGCGCCGCCTTCCTCTTCTCCCGCTGGGGAAGGTGGCCACAGCCTCAGGCACAGGTTCTGCTTCTGACACCTTCTACCCGAGGGTTTTACACTGTTAGATTTGTTTTGGTATTTAGGGTTTTTAGTCTTAGTTCAGTGTTTAGTGATAGAATTTTTTAGTATTTTTTACCTAAGAATCCCGGCCTTGGTTTAACTGTACACAAAACCCTGACAGCAGCTTGTTTCTGTTGGGCACAGAACTTGGGTAAACACAAACCCGAGGTTTTTTTAATATTTAGGGTTTTTAGGATTAGATTAGATTATTGGTTATTAGTTAGATTATTAGCTAGGTGGCTATTACTATTATTATTATTATTATTATTATTATTATTATTATTATTATTATTATTATTATATTTGTTATTAGATTATTAGTTTAGTATTAGTATTTTTTACCTAAGAATCCCAGCCTTGGTTTAACTGTACACAAAACCCTGACAGCAGCTTGTTTCTGTCGGGCACAGAACTTGGGTAAACACAAACCCGAGGTTTTTTCAGTATTTAGGGCTTTTAGGATTAGATTAGATTATTTGTTATTAGTTAGATTATTAGCTAGGTGGTTATTTTTTATTATTTATTATTATTATTATTATTATTATTATTATTATTATTATTATTATTAAATATTTGTTATTAGATTATTAGTTTAGTATTAGTATTTTTTACCTAAGAATCCCAGCCTTGGTTTAACTGTACACAAAACCCTGACAGCAGCTTGTTTCTGTCAGGCACAGAACTTGGGTAAACACAAACCCGAGGTTTTTTCAGTATTTAGGGCTTTTAGGATTAGATTAGATTATTGGTTATTAGTTAGATTATTAGCTAAATTATTATTATTATTATTAGATTATTAGTTATTAGATTCTCAGATTAGTTTAGTATTAGTATTTTTTACCTAAGAATCGCAGCCTTGACTTAACTGTACACAAAACCCTGACAGGAGGTTGTTTCTGTTGGGCACAGAACTTGGGTAAACACGAACTGTTTTTTAACAAAACTGGTGTTTTTTAACCCAAAACCCTGTTTCAGTGCTGGGGAGGGGTCACAGCGGTGTTTTTTAACCCAAAATCCTGTTTTGGTGCTGGGGAGGGGTTTTTTTACCCAAAACCCTGTTTTGGTGCTGGGGAGGGGTCGCAGCGGTGTTTTTTTAACACAAATCCTGTTTTGATGCTGGGGAGGGTTTTTTTTTGACACAAAAACCCTCTTTTGGTGCTGGGAAGGGTTTTTTTTAACACAAACCCTGTTTTGGTGCTGGGCAGAGTTTTTTTTTAACACAAAAAGCCCGTTTTGATGCTGGGGAGGGTTTTTTTTAACCCAAAACCCTGTTTTGGTGCTGGGGAGGGTTTTTTTTAGCCAAAAACCCTGTTTTGATGATGGGGAGGGGTCACAGCGGTGTTTTTTAACCCAAAACCCTGTTTTGGTGCTGGGGAGCGGTCACAACAGTGTTTTTTAACCCAAAACCCTGTTTTGGTGCTGGGGAGCGGTCACAACGGTGTTTTTTAACCCAAAACCCTGTTTTGGTGCTGGGGAGGGTTTTTTTTCACCAAAAACCCTCTTTTGGTGCTGGGGAGGGGTCACAGCGGTGTTTTTTAACCCAAACCCTGTTTTGATGATGGGGAGGGTTTTTTTAACCCAAACCCCTGTTTTGGTGCTGGGGAGGGGTCACAGCGGTGTTTTTTAACCCAAACCCCCGTTTTGGTGCCGGGCAGAGGTCTCGGCGGTGTTTTTTAACCAGAAACCCTGTTTTGATGCTGGGGATGGTGTTTTTTAACCCAAACCCCTGTTTTGGTGCCGGGCAGAGGTCTCGGCGGTGTTTGCCCCCTTCCCCGCGAGCCCATCCCGTGCGGAATTGCGGAAATTTCCGTAATTCCCCAATTCCCTGGTTCCTGTGTGTCTGGTTCCCAGGTGGCGGGGCGCAAGGGGTTCCCCCACGTCATCTACGCCCGTCTGTGGCGCTGGCCCGACCTGCACAAGAACGAGCTGAAGCACGTCAAGTACTGCCAGTACGCCTTCGACCTCAAGTGCGACAGTGTCTGCGTCAACCCTTACCACTACGAGCGCGTGGTGTCACCCGGCATCGGTGAGCGCAGCCCCGGCTGGGAGCGGGACACCTGTCCGGCTGTGGAAACCGCAGGACCCTTCAATTCCTCAGTCAGACGGTCACCAGCTCCCTGCCTCCTGCCGTTAACCCTCCTTTTTCACCCCTGGGGCAACGTGGGGAGGG